ATTTATGTATAAAAATATTTATATATTTTTCGAAACAGTGCCAATACCAACAGTGTAAATATACATTTTGGAAAAATATATTATCAAAAACTCGAGATTCATCTCTTTTTACCTATCCCTTCACTCAAATCCACAACAGTTAACGTTCCCGCCGGTTCGAGGCCGGAGCACCCGGATACCAACGTTAGATAGCTGACTTTTGATGACAAAAACTTTATGGTTAGGTACGAAAATTATAGAATTCTGATGTTTTATGTTTAATGACTTAAAAATTTTTGTTAAAACAAAACTAGATTCACGGACAGAAATGAGAATTCAATGAAATCTGAAAGCGTGTCTAAACGCATATTGTTCTGGACTTGTCCAGTACAGGTATGTACTTTTAACACTAACACCCAATAGTGGATACTTTATTTGAATAACCCTCTACATGAAAGACGTCTTCATGCTTTTTTTTGTGTATTCTGAGATGTATTTTGTTCATTTCCATCCTGCATGATCACTGAATCATTAAGTTTTTGTGAAAATTCCACACCTGTAGTTTTGAACCAATCAAAATACTTACGTTATTTTGGCAAATCACCATGGCAATGGAGATATTTTAGTGGAAATTTTTTTCTCCACAAACAAAGGCCAACGACGAAAGAACAAAACATTCAATATTCGGATCAGACATTCTACTCAAGATTTGTCAACCTAACTAATACCAATTTCAATAATAAATAAGGGGAATTGCTAGAAAAAGGGCCAAAATTCGCTTTCTCCCCCCTCCAGACAACAGGAACATGAAAGACATCATAGGGATACAAGCTGAACTAGATATCTCACACAACGCCAACAAACTAGATAACCCACTACTTCACAAACACAAAATAGCAGAAATCATTAAGAATACTCAACCACCCAGCTATCCCTCCCAGGAATATCAAAGACACTTTAAAGGACTTAACGGAAAAAAGAATCCACAATAAACTCATTTTCACCAAAGCAGACAAAGGAAAGCATAGTATGTCTAGAAGAAAAAGAGTACTTTTCGAAAATGCAAGAAGTGGTGTATACATTAGATGCCACCATTTTAAGAAATAATTCCATCAAAATGTATTCCCAGAAAGCTAAGGAGGCCATGGAAAAATCGAAAATGCTGTTTCCCACACCATGGGATATAAAAAAAAATATGCATGAACCCCCAGCCTTCAGAATTGTATAGATTAATCAAAATCCACGAAGAACGACATCCAGCCAGTCCCGTGGTATCATATAAAGATGTCCCAACCAATAAGTTGTCTAAATTTTTAAATTCAAGATTCAGAGACCTCACAAAATTTATTCCTTCAAACACAGTTCTAAATTCAGTAAATCTAGCTGACAAACTATCAAACTTGAATATCAAAAATAATATCAAACTAGTATCGTTCGACGTAAAAAACATGTTTCTTAACATCCCAACAGACGAATGTCTTCCCCTCGTGAAATACATATTAGATAAGAGTCATAAAAAATCATATATAACCACCAAATTTTGCAACCTCCTTGGTACATGTCTGAAACAAAATTTCTTCAAATACAATAATGATTTTCCCTTGCAAAACTCAGGTCTCCCTATAGGCTCACCATTAAGTTCCATTCTGGCAGACATTTTCATGGACACACTAGAAAACACCCGCATCCTTAATACACCCCTTTCACAGAAACATATTGTGTTTTGGTTCAGATATGTTGATGACGTACTAGTTGATTTTGATGGTTCAAACAGACAAATTAATCAATTTCTGAACTTTCTCAATAGTCCGCATAACAAAATTAAATTCACAGTAGAAATCTAACAAAACAACACTTATGAGTAAATTATACCCAAACTGACGAGAACACAATATAGCCAAGTACAGTACCATCAATTACTCAGGTAAACTTTCAGAAAATATTCAAAATTATTTCTCTAAATACAAGATTTCAACCGCTTTGACAAGTAATAATAATTCAGGTAGAACCCTGTTTAATGCAAAACCCAAACGGGATACAATGAAAAAAACAGGTATATACAGGGCTTTTCATGATGAGCGTTAATTAGCCGTTTCTGACAAACTATTTAACGGATCTAGCTGAAAATTTCACAGTATGCATAAATCAATATGACCTTCTGATTCATTATCACTTTGTCAATAAATTCATATACTATTTCCCTATACCTGTCTATTACCGTTTAGAAGATATAAATTAATTTCGATATTTTTTTTACCAAACATGAACTTTTATAAATGCTGATAATCTTGAACTCTCTTGCACTAAAATGATCAAATTTGAAATGGAGTGGAGTGATACTAAGAGGATCTTCACTCCGAGTCATATTTTCATTTGCCTTATACAGGGTCTTCAAAAAATGCCAAGCGGTTCGGCGTGGGTGCTTTGTTCACTCACTCGAATTGACTGCCGTTTTGGTCGGTGGTTCAAGCCTTAGTCTGAACGATCGATCTTCACTTGCTATCATCCAACTCGTGTTAGGAATCACACGTTAAAATGTAAGACCTCGTTAATCCTTAGCTAGCACAAGTTTAGACTTCTGAGGGTTGTCGTTCGTAGGGGTGCGACAGCTGGTTAACGGAAAAACAGATTTTAAACAGATTTTTTTTTAACTTTGATCTCATGAAAAAATGAGTGGAACTCAATGTTTTCATCCAATTTTAAATTAACTTTGTTCAGTCAATACCATTTCTATTTTGAACCGTTTTCGAGATAAACTGTTTCAAACGGAAACTGACGTGGTTTTCTTGCTCGTTTTTTTGAATTCATCACTTATTTTGGATATTCAACATTTTTTTTATACTTAGTTATATTTCTTTTTGATCCAGTTTTTTAACTGTCCCAGATCAGTCAATTCGAAATTGGTATGTACCTACCTTAGAAAAAGTTACAATTTGTATACATGGAGGTATTGGTCTCTAACGTACAACAGTACACATTAATATTTTTAATAGTGTGCTTTGGAAAAATAAATAAACCAATTATTTAACGTCAGCCTTTCGTTGGTGGTTTTGACTGATTGTGATAGCTACCAATTATAATAGAATAATGTCAAGATTAGGTTACAGTAATGAAGATTTCTTGAATTTATTAATAATTTATGGTGAGTGCAATAGAATTGCAAGTAGAACATGCCGAGTATTTCATGAAAGATATCCACAACTTCCGAAGCCGAATAATAATGTGATAAATCGACTACTAGAAAACTGTAGGTTGAATGGAAATTTCCGTCCAAAAATCATTCGTAAGAAGACTAAAGTGGATGATGATGACAATGGTATAACAGTTTTGAGTTACTTTCATGCATTTCCAAATGCTCTCTGCACGAGGCTGAAAGGGAGATAAGTATACCCTACGTGACAATTTGTCGAATTCTTAATATTTCGCATATAGTCAGTGGGCATACCTGAAGACTGGCTATATATCAAATTATCTAAGAACAATTCGTTCAGGCCAGTTTCAACTCCCTACACAGTAGGTTAATGGACTGACACCTCTCAGAAAACAACTACTTCCCTGGCTAATACCACGTAGGGCGTTGGATTATATCCGACAGATGTCAGTGCAGGATTCTTCACTGAAGTTATTCCTGCATATGCTGTTGGCGATACAACTGCCGCAATAGATAGAATAACTTCTGTGAAGAATCCTGCACTGACACCTGTCGGATATAATCCAACGCCCTTCGTGGTATTAGCCAGGGGAGTAGTTGTTTTCTGAGAGGTGTCAGTCCATTAACCTACTGTGTAGGGAGTTGAGACTGGCCTGAACGAATTGTTCTTAGATAATTTGATTTATAGCCAGTCTTTAAGTATGCCCACTGAATATATGTGAAAAATAATTACTTTACTTAAGCTATTGTTCTTATCATTCTGTACTATTTTATCTCATTTCATATTAGTTTACACTGTTTTCTAAACATTGGTCATTTTATCACATACAAAATATATTTTGCGTTCAACCGTCAATAACTATTGTCGCTGAACTACTGTAAATATTAGCCCGATCGTTAGCACTATTTTACAATTCAGACTTATTTTAATAATTTTTCAACATTAATTTTAAATTACTTCTTATAATGAATTTCAACTTACCTCATATGTACTTATTTTTTATTTTTTATTATTTACTGATATGGCTATATCACGTACAAGTTACACCCTTTCGGCGATGCTCCTTCTGTGATGTCGTTGTTTATTTACTCCTTTTTACACCCTTTATATTAGCTTCACCTGTATGTATGTATATATGTATGTATTCATGTTTGTTTGCTTGTAACTCCCAAGCTCGGGATCTGTATCGACAGAATTATCGACATCATTATTGCTTAATCTATTCGCGGGCAGATGGCGCTGTACGTAATTTCCTTGATAGTTTGTTCGAAAGAAAATCAAAATAAGAAATGGATTTTAAGAATTATTATGAGTGTTAGCGAAATTTTGTACTACAGATGAAATATTCAGATATTTAAATATTTTCAATTACCCCTGATTTAGTACAGAAAAAAGTTTTGAATAAAACGGAAGAAACACTTCAAAATCTAATTCGATTATTTGAAAGCAAACCAGAATATGGATTTCAACAATGAAAACGTTATCGTAAAATGTACACCTAAAAATGCAATTACCTAAATATTTTAAAAAATCGAAAAATTAAAATTAAGTTGCTTGACATTACATATCAAATCAAGGATTGATTTGAAAAATAATTATAGTTTGAAAAACTAAAAAACACACTTTTATAACTTATGAAACTAAAAAGTAAGAAATAAATATAGTTTAAAAAAATAAAAATCACGCTTTTAAAGAACATCGAACTAAAAAGTTGAAAATATTTTGTTTAAATAAGCTTAAATTATGTAGTGGTATTACTAGTGAAAATTGGAGAATAAATTTCCTGATTCACCAAAGAGAATGGTAGACACTCAAGAACGAACGGACAATCAGGAGGTAACAGATTACCAGGGTTTATAAATAGACAATAGTATCCCCATCTCTGCTTGTGCTTCAACTACACGGTATAGGTACAAATGAACCGAGAGTGATAAGCTGGCTAGAACGCGATTTAGTCCGTTGTAAGCGTTGATATATTGCCAATTTGAAAAGGTGTGTACCTACTTATATTACCTGGAGCTTCAAACGAAATTGATAGTGCGAAAATAGTTTCCTTGTTTTTGTTGAATTCCTACATTATACTAGGTAAGTAACTATTTTTCGATGAAAGTTTCATTTTATTTTATGAACGTCACGTACCTATATATATATATCCAAAGCGTATCGACGCTAATATGTCATAGTTATCTGTGACGTATTTATATTAGACTCACTGAATATGTTTGAACTAAATTCATTATTTAATTATAGTTGTTGTAATATTAATTATAAGTGGAAAATGATTCAGTAAATATAATTTCGCAGTAAAAATACATGATCATTACCGAAATTATCTGTGGAAAATGATATAACCAAATCTATGATGAGGAAGTATTCGGCAAGAAAGAGTTTAAAAAGCAGTTCGTTCTGTGTTATTCAAATATTGAAAATCCTATCTGTTTTCTGAATGATCTCAAATGATTTGTCGTTTTTCGGAATATTTGCCCATATTTTAATTTGAGTAAGTTTCTCAACATTGTTTTTCAGCGGTGTGTCAACTCAGCACTTGCTTCAGGAACTTTTCGAGTGTACAGTGTCATCCCCAAAGTATGCACAAGAGTATGTACAAGAGTAAAGTACTCTTACTTGGAAAATTTCGGGAAATGTTATTTAGAAAAGTTGTTCATCATTGAAAAATACATTTAGATTTGAAGTCATAGCCATCTAAGTGAAATTTTATTTTTTACCCATTTTTTTAAACTGGCGACTACGAAATGAAAAATTTGCTAACACAATAAATAGACAGCATCCAGTTCACGACGTTTCATTTCAAAAGCCTGCAATATTACAAATTACACAACTATGGTGTGAATCACGTTCAATTTTTTCGAAGAGTAAAATAATTTTCAAAGTTTTTGGTGCAAAATTATTTTTATTTTTTGTTAACACCGAAAATTACTGAAATTATACAGTATTGTAACACGAACTCAACATTCAATTATATCAAATCACAAAACATCAAAATAAAATTGGTATTTTGGAACAAACTCATTTATTTTCTGGAGATTATTATGGACAAGAAAATCTCCAGAAAATCAACGAGTTTGTTCCGAAATACCTATTTTATTTTGATGTTTTGTAATTTGATATTATTGAATACCAAGTTCTTGTTACAGTACTGTGGAATTTTAAGTAATTTTCGGTGTTAACAAAAAATAAAAATAACTTTGCACCAGAAACTTTGAAAATCATTTTACTCTTCAAAAAAATTAACGGTGGTTAACACCATAGTTATGTAATTGACCGATATGACCGATTCTCTTCATACTGTATACAGGGTGATTCAAAAGTACTTTGACAAAATTCAGGAGATGATTCCTCACAATATTCTAATATGAATTGTCCAAATAAATAAATGTCCGGAAACGCTTCGTTTCCAAGATACATGATGTTGAAGTTTTATTTTTATTTTCGTTTTTTTCAAATAACTTTTGAAATACTGAAATTAATTAAACGAAACTTGGTAATAGGAGATTTTTGAGGTGTCGAATTCGAACCTGATGTTCTTATTGCTCTTACTCGTAGGGGGCGCCACCTACACGTCTTTTTCTTTTTTAAAAATTCATAACTTTTTTGGGCGTACTTCTAGCACGTTTCAGTAAAAAAATCGATTCCTCTATTATATCTACGTAAATGAGCTACCCTTGTTACTAGTCGCTGTAAGCAAGAGTTTTACAAATATTTGGACTTGAAAGCTTCAAGTCGATTATTTGATAATCGATGCATGTTGAAGTTATTACGAATATTTTGCTTTTTTCACAAGAATGCTTTGGAAATGAATTTGACGTTTTACTCGTTTGTAGAGGTAATTACTGTTGGGTACGTTCTTTTATGACATCCTTAAGCGAAATAGTTATTTTTGTATCAAGGGTGCATAATCAGTATTTGTTTTAATAAAATTTGCAAGAAATGTCAACATTTTATTTCAGGAAATTTTCAATATGTAGAATAAACTAAAATAAACGAAACTAAATTGTATTCAAATAAATTGTTAAAAGTGTCCACCTTCACCGAAGATATAGGCAGTCAGTCGTCTAGTCATTGAATCTCGTACCCGCTCAAAAATTATTGGTGTGTTTCTTATTGTTTCACAGGCGTCTACTATTCGGTTTCTTAGGTCTTCCTCGTTCACTACTGGAGTCTTATAAATTAGTGACTTCAAATGTCCCCAAAAATAAAAATCTATCGGGTTTAGATCTGGGGACCTTGGTGCCCACGCCTGGTTAGGTTCTTCTACACCCCTACCGATCCATCGATTTGGATAGACTGTGTTAAGGAATTCCCTGGCTACAACGCTAAAATGGGCCTCATTATCATTCTGTTCTTTAACTTCTGGTTAGGATGGTGAAACCATCAATCAGTATATGTTTCTAACCTATATAGGTTCATCATCAGCTAAAATTCTACAGTGAAAGAAGAGCAACATAACAAGAGTTAATACAATGAAATATGAAATACTTAAATGGAGGTGAAAATATTTTATTTTATAATGGAGAAAAGAAAATTGGCACACGGTACCAATGAACAAATAATCACAATGACATGTTAAAAATAATGAAAAAAATATTTTCTAAAGGCAGTAAAAATGACGGAAGTTTATCACATCATATCTATAAAAGATTGAATTATGGAAGGCTTGAATAGGTATACAGATTTATAGATATAATGTGATAATTTTCCGTCGTTTTTACTACCTTCAAAAATATTCATTTCATTATTATTAACTTATTATTGTGTCCATTTGTTCATTGGCACCGTGAGTCAATTTTCTTTCCTCCATTATAAAATAAAATATTTTCACCTCCATGTAAGTATTTCATACTTCATTGTATTAACTCTTATTATGTTGTTCTTCTTTCATTGTAGAATTTTAGCTGATGATGAACCTATATAGGTTAGAAACATATACTGATTGATGGTTTCACCATCCTAACCAGAAGTTAAAGAACAGAATGATAAAAAAAATATATAACTGATTTAGAAAGATGGATAGAGCTGCTCCAAATTTCGATCATCTCCAATAATGCTTGTTTACAATTGGGAGCTTTTTCACTCGTAATTTCATACCATCACAAGTGGTTGGAATGATTTTGTATACACATTCACAAAAAATAAAATTTCTGTTGACTCACCAGATCATTTCTGATTGATACAAAGGTAATAATCTCACCGTTAAAAAAAATTAAAAATGATCAGATGGAAAACGTACTTTATTAATACGACGGTGATTTTTTTTTATACAGTGTGACCCATTTTTAATGGAAACACCCCTCCAAAATTTGAAGTTGTAAATCGAGTTTAATATTTTTTTTAATGTCAAGTACTAAAAGGTCTACCTTGGGACAAAATTTGAAATGTTTATTAAAGTTTCAGGGCATACTACGATATTTTTTCTTAGTCGAAAATCGGAATTTTTATTAGCGATTTTTTTTATTGGAAAAATCACTACGCCACTGGATTCAGAGTGCCTCTAAATAGGTGTGACCAAAATTTCATGAGAAAATATTCATTATTAACAAAGTTATGACAACTCAAAAATTCGAAAACTCACACAGCTAACAGTCACAAAAAATTTGTACTAGAGAGCTAAAAATTGGTATATGGGTAAAAAATGAAAAAACAATCATCTTTTCTCTTTACCGATTTTCGAAATTTCGAGCAATAACTGCTTTTCTGAACATTTTTTGAAAAAAATGTCAAATTGGACAGGGAAGAAAAATCACTTGATCGGTCACATGCATGTCATTTGGCATCATTTTTAAAGCACAACCTAATGGAGATGAACAAAAAAAAATGCCATTTGATGCGGACTTTATGTGTGACACTGTATATCAATTTATCCATTCAAGTGAAATACGGCGAATTCACCGTCCAATAGTGCTAATTATTTCGCAAGAGTGTTCAAATACTTCCAAATTAATGTTTATTATTGAATCTTTGAGTTACTCCTTAACAATATCCATTCTGTATTTATTTACACAGCTATTTTATTATTGTCGCTGATTTGGTGTGTTTTCACGTGCAATCCCAACATGGCCATATGTTTTCGAATTGAATTCATTACTTTTATATGAACTCCTAGTTGGAAGGCATGTCCTTGATATTTCATTTGTTATTACTTCATGTAGGTATTCAGTCGAAAGATAGAAGCTTTGTTGTACATATATACAAATAGTGGTTTATTATGTTTTTGTTGATAATAAAACAAGGGTATTGAGAAAAGTCCAAGGAAAATTGTTAAATTACTTTCAACTTCGTTCCCTGCAATTATGCATGTTTCTCTTGATAAAAAAAAATGTGAATTTTTGTTAGTTACCGTAATTCAATAAGTTTAATGAAGATAGACTGGCTTTATGATAACATATTTGTGAGTAAAACATGATAAAGTGGTTGTAGTTTAAAATGAGTAATTACAGCCCAATTTTTTATTGTGGTGACTGGAATATGTGGTGTAAATCATTGAATATCAATTGAAAAAAATTTTGTAACTGGCATAGAAATTTTCGGAGGTGATTTGCCCGATTTTAGTATATCGAGTAGTCCAACGAAAAGTATGCACCTTGCTTTTCTCCTTTTTTTGTAACTTAACGCAAAAATGCTCGGACAAGTCAATTTTGCTTTTGAGGGGGGCACATTTTAGATGTATTTTTCTACCTATGCCTTCAACCCCCTAGAGAGGGTGAGTAACAACCCTAAAATTTTATATGGAAAGTGGGGTCGAGTGATATATCATTTGAAAGGGCACAACATTCTCTTTCCAATGATAACTGATTTGTTGTATTTACTTGAATAGTTATGAAAGAAGCGAGAACATTTACTCGATATTTTGGTGTTAATGAAAATGCGGAGAAAACGGCATTTTTATCACTAATACATTCCTCAATTTCTCTCGTGCGTTTTTTGGTTCAAATAATAACAGCAGATAAGTGTACAAAAAGAATTTAGGAAAACGTTCATTGATTCAGTTCGGTTGCTTTTGAAATTATTTCAACTTTACTGTAAAAATGGTTTATTCCATTCCTGAACGAGCTGAAATTGTTAAACTT